GCTTGTGAAGGGCTGAATCTGCGTAGAAGCAGAAGAAGAAGCCGAGGCGGTGCGTTGATTGAAGTGGCCGAGGCTTGTAAAGTGGCTGAATCTGCGTAGAAGCAGAAGAAGAAGCCGAGGATGTGCGTTGATTGAAGTAGCCTAGGCTTGTAAAGTGGTTGAATCTACGTAGAAGCAGAAGAAGAAGCCGAGGCGGTGCGTTGATTGAAGCAGCCGAGGCTTATGAAGATGTGGCTGTTTTCGATGTTTGTGCCAATGATATGATGTTTTGCGCATGTTACCAAGAAAAGGCAACCAAACCGTTTCGACTTCCAAGGCACGTACGGCTGCAGCATTGAATGCACAATGATGGTTACAAGAGGAACTTCTAGAAGGAGATGCGTTTGAAGAGGTGCGTGAGAGGCACGTTCGAATCTGAGGCGTAGATTTCAAAACGATTTGAATTTTACGCTTCGGATTTAAATCGGAATTGGAGGGCTGAGATTCATGGGGCCTTCATCCAAGGGCTGGGGTTTGTCTTGGCTCCCTATAAAAGGTCAAAGATTTTCATTTTGAACCCTTTTTCACGATTTGCTTTGTGTTTTCTGCCTTTCGTTGTTTTCTGTGTCCAAAGTTGTCCTCCGATTTCAAACTCCGGCATTTCATAGTTCATTGTTTGTTAGTCATTCCCGTAGGTATTGTTTTTCTTGTGCAAGAATCATTTCTTTTGTGATTTTCCAAGCTTTTGATATGGAGTCCACTTCGGGTAGAGAATTGGTGACAATAGATAGGTTGGGTAAGGGGCTGTTCTGAATGGGGAATCTGAGGTGGAGTATTATGCCATGGTCGAGGAGCCCATAGATTATGATGAAGAATGGGGGGCTGCTAGGATAGCGTCAAACATGACCTTGAAGAAGTTGAAGGAAATTAAGGAGAAGTATTACGTCCCCCATTACGTGGAGATGTTAGTCCCCGAGGCCCACGAAAGGGCATGTTTTTCGAAGCCCGGATGTGTGACTGTAAGTGAATACCTGTTCAAGGTAGGTATGCGTCTTCTTCTACACCCCTTCTTGTAACATCATGTTTAATGTCAATGAAAATCAATGTTTTGCAAGTCTTTTCAATTCTCAGCGTCGATGAAAATAAATGATAGCGTACAGACCTCGGTAAATGTCCACGCATAAGTCTAAGCTAATAATCTGAACTTGACAGCTTAACTTCCATTACTTGTAATAATCAAGCTTAAGGATGAGTTAATAATCAAGCAATGTAAACGATGAGTTGATTGGTTGTGCTCAGGTTTCGATAATTGAAATAAACTACGACGTCCAAATTGCACTTGGGCTATTTGACTGGATATTTCCATTGAGTTCGAATTAGCGAGGTGTACATGTTAAGGTTTCTTCCTTTGGCGTTCAACCTCGCCAACGGAAGGCATGTGGAGTAAGCCTCGGAGTTCAGGCGAGGTGGCCTCAGAGTTGGGGATGAGGACCTCTTCTCCGAGGCTTCCACGCTTTCCTTCATAATGAATGGTACAGCCATGAAGAGGCTTCTTCATTTGACGTTCAGCCTTGCCAAAGAAGGCATGTGGAGTGAGCCTTGAATTTTAGACGAGGTGACCTCAGATTTGGGGGTCGGGACCTCTCTTCCGAGGCTCCCATGCTTCCCTTCATGGTGGATGGTGCAGCCATGAAGAAGCTTCTTCATTTGATGTTCAGCCTCACCAAAGGAAGGCATGTGGAGTGAGCCTTGGGGTTCAGGCGAGGTGACCCCAGAGTTGGGGATCAGAACCTCTCCTCCGAGGCTCCCACGCTTTGCGAGTAGTTTTTGAATTTAAATGACATTTTATCGAAGTTGGAAATCCATTACATAAGCTGGGAAAGGTCATCCAGCGATGCAGTATAATCATTGGTAGTAAATTTTGAGATGTTCAATGTTCCATGGACGAGGCTGTGCCCTGCCATCCATGTCTTCAATTTTGTAGGTACCGGGTCGGACTTCTTCTTTGATTTTTTAGGGACTTTCCCAGTTTGGACCCAAGGTACCTTCGCCTGGCGCTTTGGAGGAGAGGAAGACTCTCCTAAGGACTAAGTCATTAATTTAGAAGGACCTCTTCTTTACCTTGGAGTTAAAATATTTAATCATGTTCCTTTGGTAAGTAGCGAGCCTCAGTTGGGAGTCGTCTCTTCTTTCATCCATGAAGTCGAGGTTGAACCTCCGTAGTTTGTCATTAGTTATTTCGCTGAAGTGCAAGCGACGCGGTGATGATAAGCCGACCTCGATGGGGCTCATGGCTTCGGTTCCATAAGCTATGAGGAAAGAAGTTTCCCCCGTCGGAGTTTTGGTGGTAGTTCGGATTACCCAAAGCACTTGAGGTAACTAGTCAACCCAGGCTCCTTTTGAGGCATCCAACTTCCTTTTGAGGACGTGTTTGATAGTCTCGTTTAAAGCTTCAACTTAGCCATTGGCTTGAGGGTGATGAGGCATTGAGAAGTATTTCTTGATTCCAAGTTCTTCGCATAGGTTCCTTACCTTCTTATTATCGAACTGCCTTCTATTGTCTGAAACTATGGAGTAGAGAATTCCGAATCTGTATATGATGTTCTTCCAAAAGAATTTGGAGGTGTTTGCCTATGTGATTTTTCCCAACGGTTCGGCCTCAACCCACTTCATGAAGTAATCAATGGCCACAATAGCAAAGCTCGTACCTCCTCTGCCTTTAGGCATAGGACCTATCGATCCATCCCCCCACTTAGAGAAGGGCCATGGGCTAGAGACAGCAGTTAGCTGCTACGAGGGTTGCCTTTAATAGGGGAGAACCATTGGCACTTGTCGTATTTGCGTACAAATTGAAGCGCATCCTTTTTCAAGGTGGGTCAGTAGTACCCTTGCCTCAGTACTTTTTGTGCCAAGGCTAGTCCTCTTGAATGATCACAAATACCTTCGTGGATTTTCCATAGAATGTAAGTGGCCTCGTCTCCCCCCACACAGCGAAGAAGTGGGGAGGAGAAGCCTCTTTTGTAAAGTATGTCAACAATGAAGAGGAAATGAGCTGACCTCCTTCTCAGCTTGTAGGCCTCATCTTTGTTAGTGGGCAGGACCCGGTCCCTTAGGTAGGCTATGATCGGTTGCATCCAGGTGGGGGTGCCTCCGACCCACATTACCTTAGGAACCTCTTGGTACTATTGCCAGTAGTTCGGAGTCCTTGCTGCTCGCGAGTTTAGAAAGTGCATCTGCATGCACGTTCTCGAGGCGAGGGATCTGTATTATTTTGAATTTTTGAAAAGATGGAAGGAGGTTCATCACCATCTTCAAGTAGAAGGCCATAGTTTTATCCCTAGCTGAAAAACTACCGTTTACTTGGCTTACCACTAGCTAGGAATCACTGTTGATACGTAGCCTCCTTATTTGCATTTCTTTGTCTAATCTGAGGCCTGCGAGGAGCTCCTCATATTTAGCAGCGTTGTTGGTGGCTTTAAATCCGAACCTCACAACTGAATTCAGTTTGTGACCTTCTGGGCTAACAAGGACTACTCCAAGTCCCGAACCTGGGTCTCCAGCTGAACCGTCCACGAACAAGTTCCACGTGGGGTGCTCAACAGGTTCCATAACCTTTTCCACCTCGGGTACATTGGTGAACTCTGCTACAAAGTCAGCTAAAGCTTGGCCCTTGATGGCTGCCCTTGTTTTAAAGACCATGTCGAATTCACTTAGCTCCATTGCCCATTTCAGTAGTTTTCCTGAGGCATTTGGCTTCTGTAGCACTTGCCTCAAAGGGAAGTTGGTTAGCACATGAATGGTGTGTGCTTGAAAGTAGGGCCTCAGCTTCCTAGAGGCTGTGATCAAGGCTAAGGCTAGCTTCTCCATATCAGGATAGCGAGTTTCTGGAGATAGGAGTGCCTTGCTGGTGTAATAAACGGGTAGTTGAGTGGTTCCTTCCTGTCGGGTTATGACCGCACTGATGGCCTTGTTGGAGACGGCCAGGTACAGTAGGAGAATGTCGTCGGGCTTAGGCTTGGAGAGGAGGGCGGGCTGCCCTAGGTGCCTTTTCAGGCCCTGGAAGGCCTCTTCGTACTCCTCATTTCATTCGAACTTCTTCCCGACTTTCAATACCTTAAAGAACGGAAGGCATTTATCGGTGCCCTTAGAGACAAAGCAGCTGAGGGCTGCCACTCGTCCTGTTAGCCTTTGGACTTCCTTCAGTTTCTGGGGTGATCTCATTTCGAGCAATGCATTGATCTTTTCAGGGTTGGCTTTGATTCCTCTTTGGTTGATCATGTACCCCAGGAACTTGCCAGAGGCAATGCCAAAGGCACAACTGAGGGGGTTGAGCTTCATCCTATACCTCTTGAGGATTCAAAAAGTGTTATCCAAGTGCGTCACATGGTCATCTGCCTTCAAGCTTTTCACAAGTCTATCGTCAACGTAGACTTTCATTGTCTTGCTGATGAGGTCTACCAATATTCTGTTGACAAGTCTTTGGTAGGTGGCCCCGGCATTTTTCAACCCGCAGTGCATTATCTTGTAGCAGTAAAGGCCTCTGTCAGTGATAAAGGAGGCGTTCTCCTCATCGGACGGGTACATGGGTATTTGGTTGTAATTAGAGTAGGCATCCATGAAGCTCAGGAGCTCATGCTCGGCGGTTGAGTCTACCAATTGATACATTCTCGAAAGTGAGAAGCTGTCTTTGGGGCATACCTTGTTGAGATTGGTAAAGTCAATGCATACTCTCCACTTACCGTTGTGCTTCTTGACTAGCACTGGGTTGGAGACCCACTTCGAGTAGATGGCCTCTCTGATGAAGTCATTCTTGATTAGCTTCTACACTTCTTCCTTCAGAGCCTCATATCTTTTGGGGTTGAGGGCTCTTCTCTTCTATTGGTGCGGGGCAACTTTAGGATCTATCTTTAGGTGGTGGCAGCTGACCTTGGGGTCTATGCCCACCATGTCCTTATGCCTTCAGGCAAAGACATCAAGGTTCTTGCGAAGAAAGCTTTTAAATCTTTCTTTCATGTCATCGCTCAGCCTATGCCTACTTTCAACACCTTCGTGGGATCGCAGGGGTCGACTGAGAAGCTTTTTAGCTCCTCAACGGGAGTGGTTTGGGGTTCGCGCTCAATCACGCGGGGATCGATCTCATCGATCATGGAGAGTTCTTTCTGCTCGGGGGGCGCGTCAATCATGTCAACATCTTCTTGTTCGGGAGGGGCCTCATTTGGGACGTCTGCCATAGCCACATCAATCATGATGACATGTACGTCTCGAGGCTCGACCTTTCTGATAGAGCTCAAGTAGCTTCTTTGAATCCCCTTTGATTACCTTTCACTGTTATCACCCCGTTCTCCGTTGGGAGTTTCATGGACAAGTGGTGGATGAAAGTGACGGCTCCCAACTCCTTCAAGGCTGGTCTACCCAGGACCTCGTGGTAGGCTGACTGACTGTCTACAATAAGGAACTCCATGAAGTTCATGGTGGTTTGGGGGGACTCTCCCATCTCTACCGCCAGTGTTATCTTTCTTCTCGGAGTGATACTATCTCCGGTAAATCCATATAGAGGAGTGGTGGTGGTGGGCGTTAGCTCATGGTCCAGGATCATCTTGTCAAAGGTAGATCCGAACAAGATGTTAACGGAGCTGCCATTGTCTACTAACATTCGCTTGAGTCCATTTCGGGCCACAACGGCCCTTACCACTAGTGCATCACAATGAGGGTAGTGAACTCCTTCAGAGTCTTCATGGGTGATGACGATGGGTGGTACTTGATTTCTTCGGGAGCTGCTGTTTACGATATAACTGGTCAGTGGGAGGCATTTGGCCTCTCGGGCGTAATTTTGTTTTGCATTCCAAGTTTTCCCTTCCACGTAGGGGCATCCAAATATGGTGTCTATTTCGTGAATAAGGGCCTCCTCTCGTACATGGCTGTTCTCCTGATGCCCATGTCCCTCCTTAGTTCTATCCGCGACATGTTTCCTTCGGCGGGGAAAGACATCTCGCTAGCGGGGGGCGGCTTCCTCATGCCTTGGTCGCTGGTCGTTCCTAGGTAGGGGTCTATTCGCATACGGCGAATCATTCCTCCTGTCTTAGGGATTTTCCCATCGATTGCGATATGCGTACTCCCGACACTTAGACGTGTCATGACCATAGGAGCGGTGGTACGTACAGTAATCGGGGGGGTTCTGATTAGGCCTATTCCTAGGTCCTGAACTACGCCCTAGCCTCTTCCTCTATGGGGGGCCTGTTGCGAAGTCCCTGCTTGCGGGTCGATTGTTGTTGGATTGACATCTTCATATGCCAACGTTGGTACTGCGTTCAAAGTGGTAGTGGCAAGTGCTTGCCCTGAATTTTCACCACCAGGTGGGTTCATCTGGTAGTCCATTAGGTGGAAGGTCGGTCCCCTGGCGCGCTGTCTTTGTTGAGGTGGGAGGCCTCTGCTGGTCCGATTCCGGTGCTCAATTAACTCTTCATTAATAATCTTCCGCCTCATCATTTCCAACAGGGTGTCGTAAGTGAAGGGATCTTGGTTTTGCACGTCCCTCCAGAACAGGGTGTTCATATTCAGACCTCCTCTTAAAGCTGACAAAGCTTCACGATCGGTAACTTGCACGCAATACGTCATTTCGTCGGTAAAGCGTGATAAAAACTTTTTAGGGATTCCCCACGTGCCTGCCTCATGTCTTGAAGACGCTGGATGGGGGCCTCTCTCTCCTTGCTCACTGCAAACCTCTTTAGGAAAGTGGTCTTGAATTCCGGCCAACTCTTTATGCTCCCAGTCGGCAGTCAACTATACCAGATTTCAGCTGCTCTACTAAGTGTTAAATGAAAAGCTCTACACTTCACGGCTGGGATGGCACTTCTGAGGCTCATATGAGTTTTATAAGTGCTTAGGTGTTTCTCTGGGTCGCCTCTCCCGTCGTACTTCGGTATCTTGGGCATCACATAGTGGCCAGGGACCTGGGCATTTCTTAGTTTCCTTGAGAATGACAAATTTTCATCGTCATCGTCCAAATCTCAGGACCTCTGCTACTCAACTGAGTCATTATTCTCCTTGGCTTCATACCTAGGTATTTGGTGAGAGGGTCCAGCCTGGGTCTTAGCCTCCTCTTTCCTCCTTTGGTGCCTATTTTTAGGCGGAGAAGCTCTACACTTCACGGCTGAGGTGGCGCCTCTAAGGCTCATATGGGTTTTATAAGCGCTTAGGTGTTTCTCCGGGTCACCTCTCTCGTCGTACTTCGGTATCTTGGGCATCACATAGTTGCCCGGGACCTGGGCATTTCTTAGTTCCCTTGAGAATAGCAGATTTTCATCGTCATCGTCCAAGTCACAGGACCTCTGCTGCTCATCTGAGTCATTATTTTCCTCGACTTCATACCTAGGTATTTGGTGAGAGGATTCAGCCTGGTCCTAACCTCCTCTTCCCTCCTTTGGCGCCTATTTCTAGGCGGAGCAGCACGGGGGGCATTCTCGTGCCTTTCCTCTGGCTGGTGAGACATTGGAGGTGGGGGCTGTGATCTACTCCGAGGCTCACGTTGCTGTTGTTGTTGCCCGTGCCTCGGTACTGAGGGGCTAATTCTGTCAAAGACACCGTTAGACCTCCTAGGTCTTTGTTCTGGCTCATATGTTGGTGGAAAGTTGTCTTGGTTATGACGGGCCTCGGTGGGTCGGCCAGCAGCATAATTGGAAGAAACATCAACTTCTACTTCCCTCTCCACGGGGCTCCTATCTCGACTGTATTCTACCGGTATAGCCCTTTAGCTTTGAACTTCCTCGTCTTGGTCGTAATGTTCGTAGGGGGCATAGGGAGGAATGAGAAAGCTTCCCTGGCTCTGCATTTGGGCCATGAGTTCTCTTATGGCCATATTTTGACTAGCAATGTCTCTCATGTTTGCGGTCATGGTGGCCATTTCCCTTGACAATTGAGTGGCCATCCGCATCCCACATCTTCTGTGGTGGTGGTGAGGGCGATGCCGAGTTGCAGGGGCAGCTGCCGATGGGGACATTCCTACATTTTCTCTTACCCTCCTAGGGGGTACATTCTCGTCTGAACTCATTCTCCTCTGTTCTGATCTCAACGGTGCGAGATGAGAACGTTCGAAATCCGACGAGATGTTCGTTGACCGATTGTACAATAATTACCAATCGATGTTTGCAAATGTGTATGTGAATATGTGTAAACTCGTATTGCATTGCAAGATAATAAGAGAGAGAATTGAGTAAAGTGTTGTTTCTTGTATTGATTCTTGCATTACCCTTATGAAAGATACATGGAGAGTATTTATAGTATTACAACTTAGATCGTGGCCCTTGATTGGAAGAACACGTGGCCTCATCTCGTAAGTTTACTTATCCAATTATAGGTGTCATATTTGACTTCCTAGCCTGCTACACATTAATTAATTGACGGTTCTACCACTATGTTGACAAGATAGGACACCTGTGCTCTATGATGGGTGTCCCATCAATCACTTAGGGAGGATCCTTGTGTAAGATCAAATCTCTGGGGAGTAGTACTGCTGACAGCCTCAGGACTTCGGATAGGATGGCCTCGGGCAAGAAGGGCCTCGACTACGAGATCTCCTTATCGTATTAGCTTCGGTGGCAGCCCTTGAACTGCGCCTGATGCTATTATAATATGTTGGTGTTCTTGTTGGGATGAGGGCTTTGGCTTGGATGCCACGTAGTTCGGCAGAAGTGGGCCATGGGCCCCAGTGGGTCGGCCAAGTGTGTCAACACGTAACATATTTAATTAATAAAATAATTTTTTAATTAGTAATGTCGTAAATAAAATTTAATAATATATGATTTTGAAGTTTTAAACTTTATTTCTTAGGGTTTGTTCGGTAGCGATTTTAAATCAATTTTTTGAGCGTTAAAGAGAAAAGTAGATCTTATATATGAGTGAAAAAGTAAAAAATGACAGTTAACATAGAGAAATAACGATTAAAAAATTAATTTTTTGGGTAAAAAATTAGAACCAAACGGAGGCTTAATTTTGAAGAGGTTTGTAGTTAAATTCTTAGCTATGAATTTTTTTCATTTCTTCTTCTTCTTTTTCATTTTTTTTTTAATAAATAAAAGCCCAAATTCAATTATTTTACACAAATGGGCAAACAAGTCCCCACCACTTCCTAATTCTACACAAACGCCCAAATAGCTGCAATCCCTCGTAATCTCTCGCGACAAACGAACATAGTTCATCCCCAATCCCCATTCGCGATTGGAGAGAAATAAATCCAAACTTGCCAGTCACCGTGAGCCTGCCGGTCTCTTTGATTCATCGGCGCCACCGGAAGTTTTTTACTTCGGTTTTATTTCTTTTCCACCATTGCTAGGATATCTCCAGTCTTCACTTTCTGTAAGTTTCAAGAACCCCTCTGCTGTTTCGCATAATCACATTGTTTGGCAAATTGAATTTGTTATTACTTTCTGGGAATCATTTCATTGTGATACATACTGTATGTATCCGTTTACGTATCTTCTGAAATTCGAGTCCTAATTGCTCCTGTTATAGTTTAAATTTCCCTCACCACCACGGCCCACGGCGCCACCGGAACCAGCTCCAGTACGTCCCTGATTCCCCGTTCACACGGCGGTCTGTTGTTTCTAACTTTCAAAGGTAAACCCCTAACCTTCTAATTCCGGCTTCTGACTGTTTGATATCATAAGGGGATGATGACATATAAAATTGTTGCTCAGTGATGGTTGATAGGAGTGAACTAGACTCGGGTAATGGTTGAGAGAGTTACCGCTCATAATTTCCACCGAGCATAAATGCTTAAAATCATTGTGGCGAGAAACTAACTCTGGTAGAAATTTAAATATGAATGTTTTAAGTAATTAGTCATATAATAGATTAATAACGACCACTAGTAAAAATGACCAGAAGGGCGGAAAATCAGAGCAGGGTAAGAAACTAACGACAGGGTAAAGGCAACTTTCAGTCCCTTTAGTCTCCACAGATGCATTAAAATGGACTTTATGTAGCACTGCATCTAGTCACACTCCATTGTGTGTCTCTCATGTTTTCTATTCGACCCCTTTACTTGAATATTGATTTCAATTTTGAGCTATTATAAGAATCTAACGTTAGAGATTCAAATTTTGTTCATGCAGAAATGGCGGAAAATGTGGTGATGGTAAAAAATGAACCTTCCACCAACCCCTGCTGCACTGAGGTAACTTTTTTGTTTTTCTCACTTCTGCATTTGTTTACTAGATATCCAAGCAATGCAATTATTGGCATTCTTTTTATAATTGTGTTGTGTGTGATTGCAGTGGAAAAAGCAGTACTTAAAGCTGCAGGAGAAGTACTCAAAGCTTGAACTGCGTCGAAATGCTCTTCGAGAAGGCATCTCCATGGTCAATGAGAAATTTGATTTGATTGAAAAAGAAAATAAAGTTCTTAAACAAGGTAAAAATCAATGTTTATCTTTGCTGATCATTTGCATTTCTTGTTAATTTTTAAATGTGCAATGACGAATAATAATTCAGTTCTTGAAATTTTTGAATTGTCTAGGAGTTAAAAAATGGTAGTAGAAATATAAGATGCCAGTCTGATCGAGATTGTGTAAAGAACAAAATAACTTAAATTTGGTATAGGAAAAATGAGTGTAATTTTTTGAAACGTCTCTGCAACAATGTTTTCTGGTTGTAATAT